CAAAAACTTTCTTATAAGTGTGTTATTTTTCATTTATTATAAATATATAATTTAAGTGTAAAAAACAAGCATAAATAGCTTTGTCTATAATTTACATTTTGTGCAATTTATTACCAAATATACAGTTTGTGTATTTTCACATTTTCTGAAGGTATTTTCTTGAAATCGACAAGTTGATTGGGTCTAATTCACTGGACACTGGGTATTATTTGTCTGACGATTAAGTACAAATGGGGATAAAGCCGTGATTAAACTCTAATACAAACTATTTAAACGCTACAGACATCATCAGGAAAGCCATCCCCGTGTAGTTTGCTCGTTTACAAATGGAATAAGAATTGTCCATTTAGGCCGGTATTCCATTCATACGGGAGCGCGACGTGAACGTTTAGCGTGAGCGTAAAACTTTGAACGTGAGGCGTGAGTTTTCACGCTCACACTATCCCATTCATCCGGTTGGCTTGAAAACAATTACAATGTACTTCGTCCATGTTTTGTTGGAAAGAAAATATGTCATTAGATGAGTGGTCAAATAGTTGGATTTTGTAATTACTACAAAATTGTCATGAGTTTGCTTGCAAAAACGACACACACTTAAATTAACATTGTTTTGCAACTGAAATTAATTTATGTTAGGTGTACCTTTCTAGATAGGAATGTTGAGAGAGCCAACAATTGTCTTTGATGTCTGTGTCCCTGTACTCCTTTAGGGACTGGTCGTACAAACTAGGGCATTTACTAATTGCTTCAATAAATTTTTTTTGTTGCATCTGGCATAGACAGGGGACCTTTTAATATTGGCTTCTCGTCCTTGAATGCCATGCGTGAACGTGAAAAATCACTACATGTAGCGATCGGTTTCACGCTCACCTGTCATAAATTCGCGTTTCACGATTACGTTGCGCTCACGCCGATAAGGAATACATACAAAAGAAAATCGTTTGTTTGACTTTTCAAGTTCACGATTCACGTTCAGGCTACACGTTCCCGTATAGATGGAATACCGACCTTATCTTAAAATATCCCCTTTATATATTAAGCCACTAGCAGTATGTTATCGATTTAGTTTGAACAATATTTATTTTCAATAAATTGCTAAAATAATGTATCATACAAATTACACATAAATATTTACAGAGATATTCAAAATTATAACAAAACAACAACGTATACAGAAAATAATACGTGCACTTTACAGGTCAGAAAACAGGTAGAAGCTAGGTAGAAGCTAGTAGCTTTTGCTAAGCCTCGCTGCTGTAATATATTTATGGAAATCTTGCAAGATACTGTAACAAGTAACCATTTTAACATTTTCTTTATGACTTCTGAATGCTTAAGGGAGGCATTTTTATAACAATGTTAGTATCAAAATAGTTGTAGAAATAGTAACAGAAAACTATCAACATACAGTATTATAGCAAAAGGTTTACAACTACCTTAAGCTTACTTATGTGTTTAAGTCCGTCTTTTTTATTGCGCATTAAGATGTGACAAAATAGTACTTGTGTACCAAAGAATCAAATATATTCATCTTTTGTTAATAGTTCGTATATAATTTGAAAACAATCGTCTGTTTTGTCACTAACCCAGTTAGATTATTTAGATTACAAAAGGGAAGTGTTTCGTGTTATTTTGTTATTTTTCACAGTCCTAAATTTTCAAACGACTGTAAGAATATACTTGCTTTAAAGAAAGACTTATAAGTGGAAATATATCACATAAATAGTTATAGTATTTCATCTATTAATGCTTAAAATTTTTTATAAACTAATTTACCGGTATAAACAATTGCTTATTGGCAGAAATTTGAAAATTCTATTTTAAACATGTCCATGAATTATGTTGGTACGTAATTGACAGCCATTTATTGTTTTCCTAGCCCCCCTTTAATTGCTATTGAATTAGCAATGAATTAGCAATGAACTATAAGAAATGGTAAATTTTGTATTAAACGTAATAAGAAAGAATGACCTTGTAAGGGGCTAATAAGTATTCATTATTCAATGGTAAACACTTAAAGCTTTTGTCGCCTAAGCAACATCCATCCATTAACGCTAAAGATATTGGAAGAACCTGAAAATACATCAACACGTGGGCAACTTCTGACAACTAAGAAAAGTCTTTTAAATGTAAAAATGGTACTTGTATATAACTCACGGTTTCCGTTAAGCTATCATTTCAAAGAAACAAAAGCTGTCACAGTTAACTGACTTATACCCTCAAAAGGAAGCTTTGACATAAAATACGAAATGTATGCCAAAATACCAGTTATATATTCCGAGCGTCTTTGATAAATGTCATTCCCAAAATTTAACTGAAATTTCATTAGAAGTGTAGGAAAAATAGTCTAAAAATAAATCATCATCAAGGGCCCATAACTGTGGGAAAATCATGCACTGAATTTCCCCTGCAGTTTTGGAGATGAAGTGCGGTATGTTTATCCGACAGACGGACGCACAGACGGACAGTAAAATTTCTATATGCATAAAAAATGACAAAATAACATGAACTGTGATTTCATTGTAATAGTTTTTAAACTCCTGATATATTTTCCTTAATTGTGATATTCTTTTGAAAAAAAATATTTACCTGTCCATGTGCAGTTAAAGGAAGTTAAAGTTTGTGTTTATTTTAGTCACAATGACAGTGATGATTTTTACTATTCGTGATGGAATGCCATCCCCGTATTTTAGGCAACCTTTGTCAGTCAGAAGTCTGATGTGACAAAGACACTGTATTATTTTGTGAATACCATTGCTTATTGTAATCCACATCTGACTATGTATCACGCAATTCCCATATTATTTTCCCTTTGATAAAAAGAAGTTTTGGTGTTGTAAAGATCATATGGTTAAGAATGATAATAATCAAAACAATAACAACATCGGGAATGATTTAGGTAAGATAGAGAGAAAAAGATTGAAACAAGACAAAATATTTTTGTTCAAACAAGTTAAATATTAAGGCTAATTAAATAATTTTATTTTTTTAATTGAAATTAAAAAAATGAATTGTCATTTCCAATTATAAATGATTTAACCGTAACCGTAGATTAAGGGAGAAGCAGCTAGCGTAAGAAATAGTCAAACTACTAAAAGTTTGCTGTCACCTTTTATGCAAAGATTAAATAAAGTCTATTTTACAAGAAGAAAATGTATTTCCTATCTCTCGATTTAATATTAAAAACATGAAAATATAAAAAATTATGATCCCTGGACAACACAAAAACACAAGCATAAAGGTGGCAATTACATACGACAGTACAGGTTTAAGCGTTTTATTTTAATTTACAACACCATGTCAAACTCTTAAAATACAGAAGGATAAACCTTATATATAAAGTCAATATCTTCAATTATGATTATATTTCAAGTACAACTTGTATCATAATTTAAAAGGACATGCATTGCAATTCTGACGCCGTAAACTCTGACATGTTCTTTTTTTTTAAATTGTGAGAAGCTCTCCTTCTATGTATTGATACAAGTATATTTACCAAAAATACAAACAGTGTTTGCTTTAACTTTGAATCACTTATTAAAGAACTATATACGATTTAGTTTGCACCTGATGAATGACAAATACTAAAATCTGGATAAAGTGTGATCCCTCGGAAGCATACAAAATGACACGCAAAATGCAGGGTCGGTTTGATTGAGTCTCCACATAAGCCAATTCCAAATTAAACGTTTTAAGATAACAATTTAACAATTAATTTATGTATATATAAGCAAAAACAAAAAAAATGAAAACTGTTTCAAGAATGCATGTTTGATATACAATAGAAACTTTGCATGCTTAATTCGTTAAGTATCGGCGTAATTGAAAAGCCAAATGTAAGACGTAAAACATTTGCATAACATTCTATTAGCCTCTGAAGCAAACACTTATTTTTCTTCCTGTTTTTATGTGTCTTTATAAACACATCGCATGCGCACGGAGCTCTAAAGGATGAATATCTTCACGAGGTAAGTCAGTATTTTCAAAGTGTTTCTTTTACCTCTAAATTTCTACATAATGTCAAAGTGAAGTTTTTATTTTAAAATACTTAATATCTAAATTCATTATAAATACCTACTTAAATTTATCTGACAGACATTGCTCAATTGTTTTCAATAATGTTCTTTCATATAAAGATATGTATTTTCAGTCATCTATTTTAGTCAAAGGTTTTAAAACATAATGTCATAATATCAAATATAATTAAGTGTCACGGTTCAGAACTGTTCACTATTTAGGGGAGAAGATGTGTAAGCGGCCGGATAGTTCAGTCGGTAGAGCCGCGGAACGGTATTCCGAGGGTCCCGGGTTCGAGTCCCGGTCAGGCTGCACATTTTTCTCACCCTGTGACATTTGGCGCCCAACGTGGGGCCGTGACTGATATAGCTCAGAGTTTAATTTGCATTGCTCTGTAACTCTGTGAAATTCGAGGACGAATTTCAATATAGCAGGGGAGTATGTCACGGTTTAGAACTGTTCACTATTTAGGGGAGAAGATGTGTAAGCGTCCGGATAGCTCAGTCGGTAGAGCCGCGGAACGGTATTCCGAGGGTCCCGGGTTCGAGTCCCGGTCAGGCTGCACATTTTTCTCACCCTGTGACATAAGTTTTGATTAAGGCATGTAACGTATAAAACAACATCAGAAGTATTAGAACATAAAACTGCGATTTTGCGATGCAATATAAACAAATCATATAATAGAACACAGCTTTAAAGTTGCTACTTAATACATTTTACCATTTTTGAGTAATTTCTTATTGTCTAATTTGAAATGAATATATTAGTAAGTTTTTTTTGTTTTATGTTATCTTCATTATTAGACAGACTTTTTTGTTTTCAGTATGATTCATATTATTCAAATAAGTTGCATGAATAAGAATAATGGAATTTTAACTAATATAGAATAAATGTTGTTTGTTGTTTGTTTTATGTTATCTTTATATTTGAGACAGACCTTACTTTCATTATGATTCATTTTACTCAAAATAAAATTTCATGAAATGAGAATTAAAGACAGAAATATAAAAGTACTGAATTAAAAACATCGTAATTTGAATACACACTTGTTTTCAGCGTTCATCATTTAGGATTACTCGTGTGAAGAAAAAACCACCATGATGCTTTATAAAGGTTAGTTAAAATATCTTTATTGTATTATAGATAATAATAACCCCATGGTAACATTAAACAAAACACAAAGACACAAAAAAGCATTGTATGCAATGTTTAATGACATATACTACAATTGAAGTTATCGATTCATTACGACCTACGAAGTACTTCATTAGGTTGCAACTAAATTTATTCAAGTTTACTATACTATACTTGTACTACTTACTTTCTATGAACTTTTAAAGAAACTTCACTGAGTATTTAGAATGATCAATTTTGACTCAATTTCAACAATAGGTTTTGTTTTGATTTTGTCATTTTACGCATTTTCCCAACAGTATGTCAGTTGTATAGGCGGGTAGTTTCCTAACCATCGTTCCTTGAGAGTTACACCAGTACTAGACTACCTTCCTCCGCGCTAAACTACCAAAGCATCTCCCGGTGATCGAACCCACGCCAGAGAGGTATCTGAATTAGAAGTCATCGACTCTAACCCCTCGACCACGGAGGCGGTTTTCAACAATAGAATAATTGTTCTATCCATAAATCTATAAACTATAAACAGGACACCAAATATTAAAAACAAATTTGAGAAATAAAATAAAACAACAATTCTGAGGAATAATGGGTCTTTTTGATATTATATAAATTTCTTTTTCAGGATTTCTCCTTTTCCTGTTGGCTGCTCCTGGAGACGTTGGTAAGTTCCATTATAAAAAAATTATGAATAGTTTTATAATAAATAAACAGAACTCGATACGTTCGGTTCATTATTGTATGATGATTATCGGAAACAAGTATTTTCATCAAGTGATGATAAAGAAAAAGCATTGTTCGCAAATAAATCAAAAATAAAGAAATTTCTCATTGCCAGTAAATGTCAATACAAAACGTAGATAAGATAAAAATATGAATGTTAAGCGTTTTGTGCGTGAACTTTCCTGAAACTACACCGAAATTGTACAATATCTATAAATGTAAATATTACAATTGATGAATTTTTCAGCTTCCTTATCTTGTTATTCGTGTAACAACGTTGACAGTTTAGATAGTTGTAAAACTATTACAACATGCGGAAAAAGAGAGGTAATTATATTTAACTCTTATATTTTGTTCTGTAGTACATGTGTTCACTGGTGTTATAAAAATAACGGAACTGAATCAGGCAAATTTCAGTAGAATGACAAACAAATAATAAATGTAATTGTTTGAAAACGTTTTGATTGGTTGATGGAATTATGGTTTCGTTGCTTAGTTTAACGCTTGACTTGCTAAAAGATGATATTTGTAGGGATAAGTTTACATTTTGTACATTTTTTATTGTTATTTCTTGTAAAATTTACCTTCAGTCATGTTTCAAACGTTTACAAAAGAAAGGACAATCTGCCTCATTCACACTCGGATGTACACAAAATGAAGTAAGATACATTTGTTCCCTTATTAAATATTTATATATTAAGTACTTTTAATAAAATAAACACATGTGTTTTTACTCAAAAAGTATCATTATTAGTCAATATAAAAAAGATTATTGAATAAGATAGCTTTGATGTAGCAGCATTGCTCTAAGTACAAATAAGACAAAATATCTTTTTGACAGTTTTTTACTTTGTTCCGACATAAAAACATGTAGAACAAACAATTTGCCATACAATTCTAGAAACAACACTATTTAATATTGTTTGCCTAAAACGTTTCAGCTGAGCATAATGATTATTCACTTTGTCAAACGTACATTCGAAAGCCATTTTATTTTCTGTAATGAAAATATTTTCGCAAATGAGAAATATATAAGCATAAGACTTGAGTTGTGCATCAATCATATGTTTTGATGTGAAAATTTTAAAACCGCCATTTATGTGCAATAATATTGACATTGCATTTACTCGTATCATCAGTGAAAATGGCAAAAAAAGTGTTTTATTTTTTTCAAATAAATGTTTTTACAATGAACACAATTATTCACATTCACCATCTCCATTTTTACAGAATTGCGGTAGCATACCAGTATACACTAACGTGTCAAAGTTGAGCAATGGTCAACTGATACAAGAATGTGAAGAATGCTGCGGTGTTGATCAATGCAACAAAGACCTCTGTAACTACAAAACACGTTTGTAGCCCTTACTCATCTTTTAACAGAAAACTGTAAATAAATTATAATTGACTTTTTGTACGATTTGTTTTCATTATTATATAAAAATATGTCTTTAAGAGTAATTATTTGTATTCATGTATAACAAACATACACAAATATTTAATTCTAGGTTTCATAACTTTGAAATTTCTCACTCACTCACTCACTCACTCACTCACTCACTCACTCACTCACTCACTCACTCACCAACTCACCAACTCACTCACTCACTCACTCGGTCACTCACTCACTCACTTTTAAAGTCTTTAATCTTTAATTTTAGCTCCCCCATGCAGCGATAATACAGAAAACTGTGCATTCTGGAACAAAGGTTTCGACATCTGTGAAGATATCCATCAAGCCAAGTTAGTTTGTCGTAAATTCTGCAAACTGTGTGATCTAGGTAACTATCTTTATGCTGTTTTTCTAATAAAGTGCTCACAAAATTAATTTGCATTTCCTTATATTATTTTTTTCACAGAAAATAAAGGTACTTAAATTTCTTCAAAAATAGGCTTGTTTGTTAGTAAAAATGCACAGGTTAAGAGAAGAAGTGGACAAAAATATCCACTCTTAATTTGTTTTTTAAATTTTGTATATTGACTAAAACGAAGGTAAGCTTTATCCAAATAAGAAGAAAAGGGTATTGTTTCCCTACATTGTAAATTATCTGCCCTTAAAGTAAACAAGAAAAAAGTTCAATTCAACGGCAAATAACTTGTCAATGAGAAGCTGTCCCCAGATTTTTTCCGCTTTAAATGTTTCTGTTTAAGCCAAGTTTAAAGAAATTATATTGAACAGTTTTAATTTTATGTCTTTACAACGTCCTTATGCACACATAAGTATGATCATCGTTTGGAAACATCTACATATGTTGTTATAATCTATTCTAAGTTGACGGAAACTGGGCCGATTGGTCATCGTGGTCATCATGTGACGTCACATGCGGTCACGGAAAACACACACGAATCAGAACGTGTACCAACCCTGCACCTGCATACAAAGGTCTTGATTGTAACGGAACTAAGTCAGACTTTAAACCGTGTACTCGGCCATTATGTCCAGGTAAACAATATAACTCATACTTCATTTGTTTACATGCATATTCAAGTCTAAAACCAGGTAGAGAGCATTTTGTAAATATGAGCAATAAATGTACGGTCAATCAAATTATTAAGAATTTACTAATTTACGTGTGATGATGAAATATGATTCGAGTTTTTGTTAAGGTGCTTATAATTTAGAATAAATAATCATAACAGAAACAAAAGGTAATGCATTTCATTAAGGAAAATTATGCATTGCCAATATCGATTTTCTGGATGCACGTTTCAATTCATTCAGTTTGAGCAAGTCAGTTTGAGAAAATGTCACTTATAAATCAAGACCATCTTTATACTGACACTATTTCATTCGTTGTATGAAATGTAGTATTACAGTAGGGTGAACGTGTCAGTTTACACGCAAAACGCACGTTACACGCTATACGAACGCACGTTACACGCTATACGAACGCACGTTATACGCACGCAAAACGAAACGAAATACGCAGACGCACGCAAAACGATATACGCTAAACGAAATACGCTAAACGATATACGCACGCTAAAACGCACGCAAAATGAAAACGTTTCTAAACCTTTATTAAAACATCGTAATCATTTTAGGTTTTTAACAACTTTAAATAGCTACATGTACTGTAGATCGTTTATAGCGATAAATTTTGATTATCATATAGATCTAGATCTATACTGTACTGTATGGTAGCTAGAAATGTATTTTAAACGAGTTTATGTAAGAACTGAAATGCACTCAACCTAGCACCGAAATTAATTTTTGTCACAGCCTCAACAAATGATTTTAAGAAATATTTATAAGCTATCGTGCGCTAATATCGAAAGTAAAATAGTTAGGATAACGTGTTCCTTTTTATGCGCAATCAAATAAAGAACTATCCCTTGCATTCACTACGTAATCTCTACGTAATAGTCCAACATGGCCGACATTGAATTATGCATTGCAAATTTTTATAAATATACAGTGCTAACAATTAAATTCAGATGGATTTATGAGGCATATCTATATTTTAAGTGAGGCTGCATCATAAACAATCGAACTATATAATCTTGAGTGTAAAATAAAGGAATAAACTATTTTGACAGAAGTCACGAAAACAGATTAAAAACACAGGATTCTACCACGGATAACATTAAGGGAAATGGATAACATTAAGGGAAAAGCTTCCAGAATCAGGAATGATTAAATTGCTGGCACAATACGTAGATTTAAGTTGATGTCCTGTATGTTTCATTAGGACACCGCATGATTTATCTTGTCTTGTCGCCAGTAAAATCTTCTCAAATCGAAAGTGAAAGTAGAAATAAACAGTCTACTGAACAGCTGAAATCCAGTGAAATCACAAAAAAAGGTAAAATTTCTAGGGCATTACAATATATGAGTATATATAAATATTAAGAACGCAATTTTAATTTAGGTCTGAAACAGTAGTCGAGAGGAAAAAAATGAGGAAAATAAGGAAACCGTTTGTGATGTAAAGTTAATGGATACTGGTTGGGGACCACAAAAACCGGACAACCACTGAATCCGGACGGCCCCGAAAATGCTTAATTTAGTACAGTAGAACTTCAGTAAGTCGAAGTTGAAGGGACTTGCGTAAAAACTTCGACACATCGGGACTTCGACTCATGAATCGCTCTCGATTCCATGACAAAATTTCGACCTGTGACTAGTCCTAATTATAAGATCTATTACGAAACCTATTCCATGTTTTTCCACCATTAATCTGATATTTACATTTTACAATGATATAATAGCATGTTAAATAATTATTATTATGCTAATTATTTGGACTACCCGTTGACGTATACAATAGAGTTATAAAAGGCGTAACAATACGAAAGGGCGATAACTAAACCAGCTTATAGTAAATAGTTCGCGTGTTATTCTCACGCGACACGGGGTCAAGGATGTTTTCAAATGAAAGTAGTTCTTACTGTTTACTTTCATATACCACTACGGCAATTAAAATAGTAACGATTAAAGCATTTTATCACACATTTTTTCGCAAACAAAGGCGGTTTGAACACACGGCTGTGTAATTAACACCTGTCACACAAGTTGATTTGAGATCGTCTTCGCAGCCAGATAAGGTGTGAAAAATGTCTCGAGATGGAAGGTGTCAAAATAATCGAACGATTTCGACTTATTTGTGGTAAATTGCACTAGATTTACTTTATACGGACCACAAAAAAACTTCGACACATCGAAAAATTTGACACATAAAATCTCGACTCATAAATAGGTTTTTATAAGGAATATTTAGGGGAAAAAGTCGGGACTTTCATTTTTCTTCGACACATCGAGAAAATCGACTAATCGAAGTTCGACTCATAGAAGTTCTACTGTAATTCAATAGGGTATTCTTATTTTAGTCAATTAGATGTAGTTGTACTTGATAGTATAGCATTATTTGGCTTTACTTGACCAGAAGGTTATAACTAGGTAAACTTACCCAAATTTTCAATGATTTAGTGTGGTAAAGTTATTAATAAGGCATTATAGAAAGTTAGCCATAATTCTTAATTTTCAATGAAAATTTTTGGGATTTTCTTATATAAGTCAATTTGATGTAGGTATTACTTAATATAATAATACTATGTTGCTAAACTAACTTTGATTCATTTACCATGAGGTTATAATCAGGTAATATTACTCCCATTTTTAATGAATTAGTGTGTAAGCTTGTATAGTTTTACATAATAGGAAATAAGCCATAATTTTTTTAATATTCAATGTAATTTATTGAGATATTCTTACTTTAATCAATTAGATATGCTTGTTAATTAATATAATAGATTTATGTTGCACTTATAATTCTGTTTCATGTCCTAGGCTGTTATAATAAGGTAAAAATCCCCATTTTGTAGTGAATTTAAGTGTTCTATCTTAAGCTACAGTCTCACTTACATCCCGGCAGAGCCCCGGTAGACGTCCAGGGTGATCCAGGAACGACCAGGAAAAACCGGGGTACATCCGTAACTCTGCCGGCAACGTCCTGGATGATCCGGGAACATCCGGCATTCGACCCGGGATGGAATAAAATATTTAATATCCCCGGGGTGGTCCGGGATGATCCGGGAAGGTATAGCTTTGCCGGCATCATCCTCAGCTCTGCCGGGAACGACCGTGGTGATACCGGGAAAGCACCGTAGCTCTGCCGGCACAAACCGGGGATGATCCGGGGTATGATATAGCCGGTAGAGCTACGGTAGAGACCAGGTATATGCCGGCAGAGCCCAGGTAACTACAGGCAGAGCCCCGGAGGATAAAGGTAGAGCTACGGTTGATCCCGGCAGAGCCCCGGCAAAGCCCGGATCATTTAAAAAAAATAAGGACATTTTGTGATGATTGAACTTGTTTGTATTAAAAGCCTTCCCATTTCCCTTCTATCCAGTATTGCATAAGGATTTTTCAGAAAATCATCATGAATTACTATTCTGGAACAATAGATATTAAATTAACTAAAAATTATTTATCAAAGTTATCATTTTCGGGCGTTTTCAATCCACCGGGGTTCTACCGGGGCTCTGCCTGGATCGTCCTGGGCTCTGCCGGGGCTCTGCCTGGATCGACCGGGGCTCTGCCTGGGTCAACCGGGGCTCTTCCGGCGTCATCCGGGAACGACCGGGGAAGCACCGGCATGAACCGTAGCTTCATCTGGGCTCTGCCTGGATGATCCGGAGTGCATCCTGGGTGGTTAGTAGGGAACTACCGTAGTGCTGCCGTGGTAAGTGTGACCGCAACAATAATTTCATCCCGGATCGTCCCGGATCATCCCGGTAACTTACCCGGATGGTCCTGGGCTCTGCCGGGAGTAAGTGAGACCGAGGCTTTAAGACAGTAAAGTATCTCAGGAAATTTGCAATAACTCTTATATTTTGTAATGAAATTTGGTGGGACTTCCTTACTTTAGTCAATTAGATACGTTTGTTAATTAATATGATAGATTAATGTTCCTCTTATAGCTTGATTAATGTTCCTCTTATAGCTTTGTTTAAATTCCAAGGCTCTTATAATTTGGTAAAATTTTCATATTTTGTAGTGATTTAGTGCATTATCTTGGACATTTAGGCATCTTAGGAGATTTGCCATAATTCTCATATTTTGAAATGAAATTTGTTAGGACTACCTTATTTTAGTCAATTAAATATGTTTGTATATTAATATAAAAGATTTATGTTATATAAAAAATTCTGTATCATTTCCTAAGAGGTTAAGTTTAAGGTAAAATTACCCGGTGTATCAACATTTTATGTGGCACTGCTTTCTTTAATAGTTGGGGTCCACATGGAATTTACTATAACATATATATTTTTCATGGACAATAATATTGAAATCTTCTTTTTTAAGTCATCTTATTAAAGCTTTTAATTAATAAAGTTTATTTGGATTGAGTTATCAATTACATTACTTTCCATAGGGATCTTGTATTAAGCTCTTTTTAATGAACTGACCTACCTATGAAGCATAAAATTGATATTGTAGGAAAATTAAAATTACAATCAATTGAAATTGTACAGGTCCCAAAAGATATAAGTATGCAAAATGGGTTTTTGTAAATTTAAATAAATACATAAGTGATATTTAGGTATATTATAGTTAAAATTTTATCAGTTTTGAGGTTATAACTTACTTGAGGGAAGTTAAACAAGTGACTTGGGACTACAGCATACCTAGCTGAGAAAAATCTTCAAAGAATTATATGGTTATATATGGATAGGTTATATACTTTTAAGTTAGCAAAGGGCAACACTGGCTCATCTCGGGTATCTTAAAGGGGTATTATGTTAAGTAATGATTACGGATTGATAAATCTTTAAAGTGATTTTAGATAATATACAGAATAAAAATCAAAAAAAGCTATATATGTTTATCAAAGTGGGTTATAATATGGACCTCATATAAGATTAAGATATATTTGAGCCGGGTCACGATAAAACCAACATAATAGGTTTGCGACCAGCATTGATCCAGACCAGCCTGCGCATCTGTTCGCTAACAGTGTCTCTACTTGATATACAGTTTGTAAGTGAACAGCATGGATCCTGATCAGACTGCGCTGATATGCAGGCTGGTCTGGATCCATGCTGGTCGCCATACCACTATGTTGGTTTTGTCGTGATGCGGCTCATTTAACTTTTAACATGTAAACACTGAACTGGATCAGGAAACAAGGATTGACAATTTTATTAAGATTGCTAAAATAGTAATTGTAACTGTTTTTTATTGTACATAATAGGAATATTGCTATATCATTGTATTCTCTTTGTTTGATTGGACTGGTTGAAATTCATAGAAATCCCTAATCAAGGTATCATTATTTAACAAAACATATATTGATTAAATATCACAAGTAATAACAATACATCAATATGACTGTCAGACAGATCTGGAAACAAAATAAAGGGCTTTAAAAGCCCAGGCCACATGCAAAAGTAGTAGTCTATGCTTTGATAATGAGCTGACAGATAGGGGAATTTTGTAAAGGGTGGCTTAGCCTGTCTGTTGTGATTACATGTCTAAAAAGTACATCATGGTATATTTTAGCCACCATAGAATTTATCTAGAAAAAATATAGCAATTTTTATTTGTACAAAAATATAGAAATAGTACAATGTATGATTAGTAAAATGTTCACTATACATGTACAAATAATGAAACTATTAACAAATGTCGGTACAGCCGCGGTACGGTATTTAGAGGGTCACGGGTTCGAGTCCATGCCAGGATTCACTTTTTTCTCAGCCTGTGACTGATATAACATTTGTATAGCCCAGGTAGAAATTAAATCACAATGCTAATTAAGTAACCCTGGGAAATTCGAAGAAATATTTGCATACACAGTAGGTTTGTAACGATTCAGTATTTTAACAAGTAAAACGTGTAAGCGGCCGAATAGCTCGGAGGAACTCAAGAGCCGCGGAATGGTATTCCGAGTGTCAGGGGTTCGAGTCTCTGCCAGGCTGTTACATATCAATATAAATCTGTCAAGAAAAATAGGGATTAACTGTCTAAAATAATTATCACCCTAAATAGGATTCGGATTGGTTTCGGAAGTCTTTGATGAAAAGTCAGAAGATGAACTTGTAAAGGGGGTGGGGTGCGAGTCTGATTACCATCATTTGATGTCTGACGAACCTCATATCTAATATATATTGGTACGCATATAAACACGTGTTTGCTGAATTTAATATCAAAAATGTTGCAATTAATTAGTAACTAAATCTTATATGCGTATGTAAACTAGGATTAAAACTAATTAATCTTCGGCGTAAAGCATGTAGAAATCTGACCAGTATTCACCGCGAGGTCACAAACTTTAAAACTTTAATGTAAACATCACAATAATACTTCTTTATATAATATTTCTATTCTTTGACAGGGACACAGAACATCTCTTACATGTTTAAGAAACAAGAAATTTACATAATATATCTATCTAAGATATTCTTTTACTTCTGAATAGTAACAGACGCAAAACACGGTACTTAGACGAACGCAGACGCACGCTAAATAAGAAACGCACGCTTTCAGACGCACGATAAACGAAAAACGATACACGGAAAACGAAAAACGTTAAACGCTTGAAAACGATACACGCTTGAGAAAGCGTTTCAGCAAACGCACGTTGCACGCTATACGCACGCACGTTACACGAAAAACGGACGCACGAAAAACGCTATTTTTGACAACCGAAACGTTCACCCTACTGTATCTAATTTTAGTTCATGGGGGCTGGGCGGGATGGTCAAGTTGGGAGTCATGCCCTGTAACATGCGATATAGGTATACAGAAGAGACATCGTACATGTACTAACCCGTCTCCTCTACGACATGGCGATCATTGCTTTGGGGATACGATGGATGTCAGACTGTGCAAGCAAAACCCATGTGATGGTATATTAAATTACTTACTTAATTTACAAGTAATATAAATATCATGACTATTCATACCTGTTTAAATTTAAATTCGACATGTGAAATAAAAAATTGATGAATATTCTTGTCATACCTTTAGACTTAGACATTTAGTGTAAACACTGTTTTGTTAGAATAAAATATAGTAGCATAATGACTTTAATTTTCTAATGGAAATAATGTAGGACCGCATGTGTTCCTTGATGCATTTTAAGACAAAATGCTGCTTCTCTGACATAAGATAAAAAAGTTAAGTTAATACCAATATTATACATCAATGCAAGAGGCAATTCACCTAGAAAGTGAGGTTTTGCTAATGCTGCATATATCTTTGCCTTGAAAGTATCTGTTTTGTATTGTGGCTGATTTGTGCCATTTGGTGTGACTGTGCTAGCGAAAAATCGAGGAATAACAAGCTAAAAACGGCGGGAACGTGGAGCGAAGTCACGCTTATCAGTGCGGAGCAAAAAGTCGATATTTAATTGTAAAACAGCGGGCTGCGAAGTGAAACATTTATTGTTATATGGTGCTTATTAGCGTGATGTTCTTCGCATCGCCACCAAATTATTCTTAAAAAGCTTGAGGTTTCGCTTCGCGTGTAATTATCGTGTTTTCGCTCCGCGTCCCCGCCTTTTTATACATCCAAACCTCCTTTCGCTCCCTCGCTAATCAGCTTGTTTTCGCCCCGATATTTCTTCATGTTCACGAAATGAGCCAAAAAATATCAAATTAATACACACTGTGTTAAAGTATTCGTTTTTAAATATACACGTATAATCAAATAGAGCCAGTATATTCAGAATGTGAAATGTTGCCTTTTGCACGTTTCAGAATCAAACTCATCTGTTGCATTTAACGCCTACTTTGTTACGGACTGCAGTCCAAGAGCTGGCCAGACTATGGTTTTTTCTAATATACTTATGAATGAAGGAGGAGCATACAACCCGTCCACTGGTGTGTTTGTTGCCCCTAAAGATGGAACGTACATCTTTAATGCTCAGCTATGTATAATTAAACAAAAAACTCTTAGCTTTGATATAATGGTAGGATCAAAGGTTTATGGGACCGCTTACGGACTTGATTACTACTATAGTAACTGCTACTCGACACAAGCAATTGCACAAATGAAATCAGGTGACAAAGCCTTTGTTCAATGGAAATTAGGGACACATACTGGTAATGTTGTTCCACAAAGTACATACTACAGAAATTCTTTCTCTGGAAAATATTCAAATCCCTAATTGTTACACCGAACAAAATGATTTCTCAAGAATTATATTTCACAAAAGAAAGGAAATGTAAATCATCTATTTTAAAAACTTATTCATCTTTATTTGTTTAACAAAAAATGAAACTATTGAAGAAGTGAATATGTCATGTAAAGAATATTTGTTGGCTTAAACTACAACTACATGAATTATTTCACAATTTAGTACTTTCAAATTTGATTCATATGTAGATGTTTTAAACCAAAGATATGACAATAATTGATTTCTTTGTTACCTTAATAGAATAAGAAAGGCGTTTTTATTGGGTATTAATTTACCATTTGACAGTCAAATATATTTCATTCACATATTTGTATGTCATACTTACTTGGACTTAGTGCAGAAACCTTTTTCTATTGTACATTTATTTAAATTCAATATGTTAATAATCAATTTTTCTTATTATATCCATGTCTACGATTAAAGATTAATTGCAAAATAGCATAACATCATTGTTTCGAAAATAATATATTATATTATTATATATGATAAAACATATAATACATGTATCTATGATATTATCTTAAATTAAGTGAACGCTAAAACAGTTAAGACAAATTTAAGGCAGAACAAGAAAAAAATGAAGAAAGTTGATTAAATAAGGTATGAACTTTACTCATCGAAATTGATAAACTAATATGAAATAATCAACATTTCCTTTCTTATGTTTGTATAATATGAAAGATTGCACTTAATATTTAATTTCATTTATCCATTACAATAGTGTATATATGTACATATGTAGAATTTTTAGACCAAATAACTTTGTTTCTGTAATTTTAATTTATAATCTTTTTATCTTAATTTACATATTTTATATTAATATATATCACCTATAAATTTATCCACTTACATAAATCTATTTTTGGGGTTATATAGTTTGCATGTTTTACATTGATATATAAATAAATGTTTTAATCCAAATGTCATTTGCAAGAGTATTTTGATGGCAACAAAACGAGATCCCTCCTCCCCCAATTAATATTTAACTAAAGGAAGAATTTATTCCATTTGACCATACGTTAACAAGTAAGAGATAACTATTTTAAAACTTAAATAACAAGAAAAATATTACATACATTCGTATGTAATATAGGTACGATTGCATACTATTTTTTGTGAAGACTTAAAGTTTGCTGCATGAAAGGTGTAATGTAAAATGAACATGTCATGAGATATAGCAACGGACCTATTCCTGTTTTTTTTGTGTAATGTGTATTTTATAACACTTGCAACAATCAATACCAAATGGTTCTATTGCATTTCTATAGTGCTAACAGGTTATAATACTGTTTAGAGATACCATAATATTATAAAAAGTGGAGATGAAAAGACCAGGGTTTTGAGGGCGAAACGTCCAGGGGTGAAACATCCAGGAGGTGTAAAGTCCAAACACCTAGAAGAACTAAACACAGTGTCCATTTATTATTCATTTATTATTTAATCTTATTCTGACAAACACTTACTGTGACAACAGACAACAGTTTAATACAACAGTAAATTAAATATGACTAAAGTGTAACAACATAAAAGGTAGTTGTACCAAATAAAGGACATCATTACACAAATACAACATAAAGGTAGCTAGCAACCGTGGAATTTTTTTTATTTTAAAAGTTTTCACATATTACTTTGCAAAATACAGCTAACAAAGCAGCAGAGATAAATTAATTTTAAATAAAATTACAATGTCTATTATTTACTTTTAAAAAATCTTTCATTTAAGATATTACATACAGGTTCTGTACACTTGACTAGTGATAGAAAACCATGTTAATTTTAGCAGAAACTCAGTATTTTTGCCTGTATGTTATTGTTTGATCAAGTGTTTAATTTCCATATAATATAATATAATATATATATATATATATATATATATATATATATATATATATATATATATATATATATATATATATATATATCTGCTGTATAACTCGTTTACTTAAGACCTAAACAATTAGAAACAAGAGCTGTAGGTAGGGAAGCAATGCTGGACTATTATTAGTGGCTTGACAGTAAAAAAGGCCTCGATAATGAAAAATTTTCTTAGTTAACAAGGGAATAATTTTCCTTTAAAACCATGTTACAGTTATAGGCCTTGAAGAGAGTCCTATTATGCTCTCAAAGAAGAGTATAAAATTTCAACTTGTTTCAAAGCTAGATGTCAATAGAATTTGAAAATATCTGAGGTGGTATGCAAACTTAAATGTAAATTCTAAGTCGAAACAAGATTGCATTTGAGAAAAATGCTATGCCACCGCAATAATACAACACTAAATAGTAGTGTAGGAACAGATTTTTTTGTTTCTATACAATTGAAGATTGTCATAATGCATATCTAATTCTTATTATCAGATTAGTGGCTAAATCTATTGTTAACTCAATAAAAGATCAGAGTAGGAATATATCAATGCACTTGAGTCTAGTGAATTTGGTGGTGAAGGTCATATTTCACACAGCCTAAAATTTCATGACTGCATCAAAGGACAACATGTAATACACTTTGTCAAAATCTAGGTCAGTTGATATCAAAGTTCACTTTTAATTTTGACACTAGAGGCAAAATTTGAACAACTTTGGTAGAGTACCTATAGATGATATCATTTAACAAATATTAAAGCTCTAAGCCTTGTACCTTCAGACAATAAGATTTTTTTTATTTTTTACTATATGTATATATTGAAAATCAATGACCCCGGGGCGGGGGCAATTTTGACCCCAGGGCTATTATTTGAACATTCTTGCTAGAGGTTCACTTCACAATGTTTCATGCAAAGTATCTAACCTCTAGCATATTTCAATTGCTAGAAGAAATTTTTTTAAAGTTTTTACTACAAGTTTTTACTATGTAAATAAGAGGAAAATCAATGACCCCCGGGGCCGGGCCGATTTTGACCCCAGGGCTATAATTTGAACAATCTGGGTAGAGGTCTATCAGACAATGCCTTATGCAAAATATCTAAGCTCTAGGCCTTTTGGGTCTTTACAAGAAGGTATTTTAAATTTTTAACTATATGTACATATAGTGGAAAATCCATGACCCCCAGGGCAGGGCTGATTTTGACCCCAGGGCTATAATTTGTACAATATTGGTAGAGGTCTACCAGACAATGCCTTATGCAAAATATCTAAGCTCTAGGCCTATGGGTCTTTACAAAAAGGTATTTTAAGTTTTTACTATATGTACATATAGTGAAAATCAATGACCCCCGGGGCGGGGCCGATTTTGACCCCAGGGCTATAATTTGAACAATCTTGGTAGAGGTCTACCAGACAATGCCTTATGCAAAATATCTAAGCTCTAGGCCTTTTGGGTCTTTACAAGAAGATTTTTTAAATTTATTCTTATAATTCCTTTTGGTTGCCATGGCAACCAGATTTCTGCATGGAATTAAATTCTTTGAACAACTTTGAAAGCCCTTCACCCAAGGATCAATCCTGCCAAGTTTGGTTGAAATTGGACTAGTGGTTTTTCACAAGAAGATTTTTTAAGTTCACTATATAATCTATATAACACACACACACACAAACAAACACACACACAGGTGAATCGCTATATGCCACCGCATCGCAGATGCTGCGGTGGCATAAAAAGGGGCATAATTCTGTCAAAATGCTTAGTACAGTTACCTGCTCCTGTCTACAGGTAAGGGTTATGCTGGTGAATAAGGGCACAAAGTTTCAAAGCCATATGTGAATGGGCTTTGAAAATATTTGAGGTATAACAAAAACTTTATAACGTAAATACTAAGTAAAAAAATTATCTCAAAATGCTTGATACAGTCACCTCCTCCTGTCTACAGGTTGGGGTCATGATGGTGAACAATTGTGCAAATTTTCAAAGCCATATGGCAATGGACTTTGAAAATATTTGAGGTATATCATAAAAACTTCAACATAAGTTGTTACGTCTACACCGACGTTTGGGTGACTACAAAAGCGCTACTTATATTAAACGAACAGTCAAGCTAAAATCAAAGAGTGTTGCCAAGCAGCCACAATATATTCCATAATTTTGTTTTAAATTTAACAAATTTTAAGTGCACAACTGGCTATTTGAATGAACCAGAACTTCTTGAGTCGGATATGTCGCCTTGTGAACAATGTAGTTAAGGAGAAATGGCCAGAACAAGAAAATTAACAAAGGGCAATAACTCAAAAAATAAGAAGTGCAGAGCAGCATTTTCCTTGCACTATACTTCTTATCAATAAGATATATCATCCTATGAAGTTTCAAGTCCATAGCTCTTATAATTTATGAAAAATTAATAAAGGGCAATAACTCAAAAATAAGAAATGCAGAATATTGGTTCTTGTACAATGCACATTTTTTATTGAGATCTATCATCCTATGAAGTTTCATGTCCATAGCTTTTGTACTTTAGGAGTAATGACCTGGACAAAAGTAAAATATGAAAATTAACAAAGGACCATAACTCAAAAATTAGGAAGTTCAAAGTACCAGTCCTTGTGCAATGCACTTTTTCTAAATGAGATCTATCATTCTATGAAGTTTAAGTCCATAGGTTTTATAGTTGAAGAGAAATGGCCCAGACAAAATTAAAGTATGAAAATTAACAAAGGGCAATTACTCAAAAAATAAGAACTTCAGAGTACTAATTCTTTTGCACTGCACTGCACTTCGGGTTATCATATATTATTTTGTTATAAATTTCTAAATTTCCAAATTTTCAGGCATGCAGGAGATTAAGTTCTGAAAGAGTTACAATGGTATCAAACATACAGAGTCTTTTTAATTTTAATATGTTCTTCCTGTTAAAAATCCTTTTTAACTGAAGGAAATTTTAGTCGCCTAGCTACCATGCAAATTTCTTTGATTTTGATGCTTCTGTTCAGGATTTATGTAAATTTTACAAAGTCATTCTACACTAATATCAACATAAAAAATTAACTCATCTATCATTGTCATAGATAAAATAGTTTTCATATCCTAAAAGTATAAAATATTTAAAACTTGACAGCAAGTACTGAAGCTTATCACTTCACATTTTATGCAGTCATTTTCAATGAGATATAGTCACACAAACAACTAAAACTGTTTATTTATCTTGAAATCAAGACTTTAAAAACTTATAAAGACAGGATTACAGTTGATCAATTCATAAAATGCATAGGTTCAATGCAATTCTATACTTAAAGTGACATGACAAATGTTGTATTACACAAAACACAATCACATGAAATGTTTTAACATTATGGAAGTAAGTTACTGGTAAGCTGACATAGGCAACCATTAATTAATATGATCCACACACTAGTCAATATAGCATTAGTCCTTATAGCAGCAGGCCTCATGGGTTTTACTATTAAAATGACTTTCAATGGCTTTTTAGATCATCTATAAGCAGTGGGATATTGTGACCATGTCTTGATGACTGTGGGACAATACTGGCAACCTGTTGCATTGTTTCTCCACTTTCCAGAGCATGTTGAGACTGACACTTCCATGAAGTCCTAAAATACATATAAATTAGAAGTTTAAAAAAATTGTATAGGATATAAATAGCACTTAAAATGAAACTTAAAACAAGAATGTCGAACGACACATATGCCCCCTTTTCTAGCCCTTGACACACATAATTGGTAGTTTTGTTACAGAAACTTGCCATAAATGGGTACATGGAAGTGTTCAATTATGGAAAAAAGAAAAATAATGGAGACTTTGTGATAAATAGTTTTCAAATGATAATCAGATATTAGAAAACTACAGACCAAAAATCAATAGAGGCCACCAATCAAAATCAGAAATATGATGACCCTGTGACCTTGACCTTTGACCCAAAAATTACTATGGTTCATCCACTAATTATGATTAATCAATATGTGAAATATGACAACTTTGTGATGAATACTTTTCAAGATAATCAGCTAAAACCATTCTGACATTTAAGACCCCTGTGAGCTTGACCTTTAACATAGTGACCCAAAAATCAATAGGGGCCATCTACTAGTTATGACCAATCAATATGTGAAATATGACTTCTTTGTGCTTAATACTTTCCAAGATAATCAGCGGAAACCATCTTGACATTTGAAGGCTCTGTGACCCTGACCTTTAACTTATCGCATGACCGCCACAACTTTCCTTTGAAGATCGGCGTTCTCTAAATTTCGGTATTGGAAAACTTTGGGTGCTCTAATTGAGGTATCAGTACGCTTTGGGGTGCTCTAAATGAGGTATCAGTACACTTTCTCGCGCATGCCCAGTTTATTATTTTATTTCAAATCATAAAGTGAGTATACCCGAAAAAGAGCATAATAAAACATTACACAGTTGACAGAATTGTTGTTTTTTTAAATATTTACATATTGTCTCGATCTTTTTTTTTTCAAAACTTGAAAATGCAGTTATTATAAAGATGTTGACTGAAATGGAAAGTAATTGCCATTTTTTTGCATCCTGACCTCGAGGACAAACTAGTCTGAAACAATGAGCAAATTATTCATTTTTCAGTAAAGCACTACACGTATTCTAGCGTAATTATTAATAAATAGTAGTAGTGTTAAGAAAATAATCACTACATTGTCGTTAGTTTTAAAAAATACGCGTACAAGATATACCACTAAAATATACACCGGGGACTATTTTTGACATTATTTCCTAGATTATATTTTTGAAAATGAGCTGGAAAGATGATTAATAATTGGCATTCAGAAAAATGCATCAAACTTATCTCGTCCAATGGTTATTTCATTCCAGTTCCTTCAACGGCCTCTAATGGGTATATTTCTGCGGGCATTTATTAAAATATTTATATGTTTAAATAAAGCAAATATTACGAGGGAGCGTAAATCTCCAAAAAAATAATCGTGATGGTCATGCGATAAAACAGTTACAGAATAAATACTAGGACTTCACCGGCTGGTATCAGCGCATGGGGCGACAAAAGGGTCAATCATGGAAATTAATCTCGACGTTCCGTCTCGATTAATTTCCTATGATTGACCCTTGTTGTCGCCCCATGCGCTGATACCAGCCGGTAAAGTCCTCGTATATATTCTATAACTATTACATAGTGACCCCAAAATCAATAGGGACCATCTACTAGTTATGGCCAATCAATATGTGAAATATGACTTCTTTGTGCTTAATACTTTCCAAGATAATCAGCGGAAACCATCTTGACATTTGAAGGCTCTGTGACCCTGACCTTTAACTTATCGCATGACCGCCACAACTTTCCTTTGAAGATCGGCGTTCTCTAAATTTCGGTATTGGAAAACTTTGGGGTGCTCTAATTGAGGTATCAGTACGCTTTGGGGTGCTCTAAATGAGGTATCAGTACACTTTCTCGCGCATGCCCAGTTTATTATTTTATTTCAAATCATAAAGTGAGTATACCCGAAAAAGAGCATAATAAAACATTACACAGTTGACAGAATTGTTGTTTTTTTAAATATTTACATATTGTCTCGATCTTTTTTTTTTCAAAACTTGAAAATGCAGTTATTATAAAGATGTTGACTGAAATGGAAAGTAATTGCCATTTTTTGCATCCTGACCTCGAGGACAAACTAGTCTGAAACAATGAGCAAATTATTCATTTTTCAGTAAAGCACTACACGTATTCTAGCGTAATTATTAATAAATAGTAGTAGTGTTAAGAAAATAATCACTACATTGTCGTTAGTTTTAAAAAATACGCGTACAAGATATACCACTAAAATATACACCGGGACTATTTTTGACATTATTTCCTAGATTATATTTTGAAAATGAGCTGGAAAGATGATTAATAATTGGCATTCAGAAAAATGCATCAACTTATCTCGTCCAATGGTTATTTCATTCCAGTTCCTTCAACGGCCTCTAATGGGTATATTTCTGCGGGCATTTATTAAAATATTTATATGTTTAAATAAAGCAAATATTACGAGGGAGCGTAAATCTCCAAAAAAATAATCGTGATGGTCATGCGATAAAACAGTTACAGAATAAATACTAGGACTTCACCGGCTGGTATCAGCGCATGGGGCGACAAAAGGGTCAATCATGGAAATTAATCTCGACGTTCCGTCTCGATTAATTTCCTATGATTGACCCTTGTTGTCGCCCCATGCGCTGATACCAGCCGGTAAAGTCCTCGTATATATTCTATAACTATTACATAGTGACCCCAAAATCAATAGGGACCATCTACTAGTTATGGCCAATCACTATGTGAAAAATTAAAGAGTTTGTGATAAATAGTTTTCAAGATAATCAGCGGAAACCATGTGGTCTACTGACGGACAGATCAACATTAGCAAAACAATATACCCCCTTTTCTTCGAAGGGGGCATAATTAAGATTATTTTTAACTGAATATTCTTTTCACAACTGAAAAATACCATGGCATAAAAGAATATTTATACAAGAGGGCCATGATGGCCCTAAGGTCGCTCACCTGTATGTAGGCCCTCGGAGCTGGGCCAGTTTGAACCCCAGGGCTTTTATTTGAACAAACTTGGAAGACACCTATAAGAAGATGATTCATGATATACACACTTATAATGAAAAACAATGATCTGCCGTCCCCTACCCCTGGCAGGGCCAATTTTAACCAAGGGCTTTTATTTGAACAAACTTTGTAGACACTCACTAGAAGATGTTTCATGCTAAATATATTAGCTCTAGCTCTTTGAGTTCTTTAAAAGAAGATTTTTTTAGTTTTTACTAAATACATATGGGGAAAATCAATGACCCCCTGGGGCGGGGCCAATTTTGACTCCAGGGCTTTTATTTGAACAAACTTGGTAGACACCCATTGGAACATGTTTCATGCTAAATATCTCAGCTCTAGCTCTTTGAGTTCTTTAAAAGAAGATTTTTTAAGTTTTTACTATATACATATAGGGAAAATCAATGACCCCTGGGGCGGGACCAATTTTGACCCCAGGGCTTTTATTTGAACAAACTTGGTTGACACTCTTTAGAAGATGTTTCATGCTACATATCTTAGCTCTAGCTCTTTTGGTTCTTTAAAAGAAGATTTTTTTAAGGTTTTTACTATATGCATATTGGGAAAATCAATGACCCCCTGGGGCAGGGCCAATTTTGACTCCAGGGCGCTTGTTTTTGAACAAACTTGGTAGACACTCACTAGAAGATGTTTCATGCCAAATATCTAAGCTCTAGCTCTTTGGGTTTTTTAAAAGAAGATAATTAAAGTTTTTTCTTTTGGTTGCCATGGCAACCAGAGTTCTGCATGGAATTAAATTCTTTGAACAATTTTTAAAGGTGACCACCAAAGGAACATTCCTGAGAAGTTTGGATGAAATTGGCTTAATGGTTTATGAGGAGATGTCATTTAAAGTAAAAGTTCACAGACGGACGGCCGGAAGGCAGACGGACGGACGCTGGACGAAAAGCGACCACAAAAGCTCAACCTGTCACTTTGTGACAGGTGAGCTAAAAATGTATGGCAAAGGAACACATTTGACATTAGAAAATTACAAAAAAATACCTTTATATTTATAATATTCTTAAATATTTTTTACAATATGCTCATGATAAAATGTCAAAAAATATTATGGCAAACTAACCTGATCCCTCTGCACAAACACAAATCTCATGGAACTTTCTTGGGGTCCTAATATATATTGAACCAACATATTGAGAATAGGGAATTGGGATAGTGCACTTGCTGGGCATAATCCAAAGGGTAGGAGTACTCTACATCAAGAGTGCATGGTAGAGTGCCTGAAATGTACAGTAGTAAATTTATAAATTATGTATTACTGATATACAGCTTTTACAATTTATATAACAGATTTTGCTAAAGTCCCAAAGTTTTGCTGCCAATGAAATATACAGTCGAACTTCGTTCGCTCAAAGTCCGAGGGCCTGTGCAAATTTGTTCAAGAGATCGGTAGTTCGAGCCAACCGAGGTTGAACTATTATTACATAGAACAAAGGCCTCTAGGTTTTCAAACCTACATCGGTCAAATGATAAATACGTCGATATAATTGTTTGCAGTACATTCATTTGTTGAATTGTCCTAGTTAGAATTATTATCCTATTGAAACAGTATTAACGGTATACTGTGTTAATCTATATTCATGCATATTGTAATTGGTTGGGTTTGATTGGGCAATCATTAAAACTGTGAACAATGATCAAAATATATTTATATGTTTATTATGAATTTTATTTTAAACAATGCATTAATTAAATATTAACAAAAGAACATCTTACAGCAGCATATTTTTGTAGTCATTTACTAAAATAAACACACATGTACAAGTATCATTCTATAAATAGATTACACTGTTACAATTCACATTACATGAACCACGGTTGTAATTAAAGCCGTCCAGGTAAACGTCATTCATTTATTGACTTTTGGCATTTCAGGGGTTATTTTCTTTTTATTATTACTAAAGACGGCAAATATACAATTTTATCATAACAAACAAATTGGTATCAACACCTTTTAATTTGTATCAGTTAACCTTAATTGCCCTTGTCACCATCACATGGTGTTAAAAACATGTGTCGCGCCTGTCAATTATTTAGAACCTGTCGACATGCAACTTTTGTTGCCTGTTTGTGTTCGACCAAAAAGGTGTGATTTACACTATATTTCTTCTGAAGGGACCAGAGATCAGGTTCGAGAGTTCGAGCCATGGGTGTTCGAGCAATCCGAGGTAGAACAATATATATTATATAGGAATTTGCCGGGACTTGGGGATGAGTTCGAGCGAAGGGAGGTATTCGAGCGATCCAAGCTCGAGCGAACGAAGTTGAACTGTATGTCCTTTCTAGAAAGCTTGTCATAGGGCTATTACTTTTTTTTATCAAAATATTAGCTAAAATTCAGGCTTATAAAATTCATGAATGTGGTTCTAAGTGTCAACAAACATTTTGATATTTTGATGTGGCATCATATGTTTATACAAACATAGTGCAAATACACAGTGTAACACTATAGATGTGTCAATGAAAAATTATTCTTTTCTGCTTGAACAGTCTGAATGCAGGATATGTGATTTATAGAATATTATATTAGTGTAGGTTAACTTAACCTTTTACCCCATTAGCATATTGCGAAAATTGGCCGTTTTCATCGAAAAGTCCCTGTAACAAGTTCAAACTGCTGTGTCTATGAAAAATGCTTCAAATTTATATAGTTAGGACATCCTTTAAAAAAATGTTTGTTTGCAGTAACGCGACCGACTCACAAAATTTACCCCTACTCAAAAAATTTTTTCATGGTCTGGATAAAAAAAATTTTTTTGAATCAGAAAATTATGCCTTGCGCTTTGTTTTCGTTCTTTTAAAGGTTAATAGAAGAAACAAAATGTAGGTCTTATTAAATTAGAATTCAGTTATCAATTAATTAATTGTTACCAGATTATCAAACCATATATTGTCCAGCATTTTGAAATTCCATGTTTATTTATTTATTAATGAATGTTCATAAGCAGTAGATGACCCCTATTATTAATTTCGAAAACTATTTATCACAAAGTCTTCATATTTCAAATACTGATTGGTGATACCTATTAGAGAACCCCTACTGATTTTGGGTCACTTGTTCTCTAATATCTCATTATCTTGAAAACTATTTATCACAAAGTCTTCATTATTTTTCAGTTTTCCATAATTGAACACTTCCATGTACCCATTTATGGCAAGTTTCTATAAAAAAAACCTACCAATTATGTTAGTCAAGGGCTAGAAAGGGGGGAATCAACATACCTGCACAATGCACTATAACCTTATCTTCCTATGTTCTACATTTGCCAATAACACGCACACTTTACTATCAATCTACCAATGTTCCAAATTTGCCAATATCGACTCTTCAACTCCACAAACAAAGCCAAACCTAAAAAGGGGGAAAAGAACAATAATGAAGGCAAACAATGATAAATAAAGGGACTGTCACAGGAACACAACACCACACATGCCTACTACCAGTTTTTGATGCAATTACTTTTTAACCTAAAAAGATAAGCATATACCTTGCTTTAAGGCTTTTGTGTTTCCAGACATGCTTATTTACAATAAACTTTGCTTCCCAAAATTGGTAAAAAATAGAAACTTAAGATTTTACATTTATCGTTTCGAGCAACCATCAACTAAATCTTTAACAGACTGTTGGATATTTTTTATGCACACCAAATTTTCTTTCTTCAACTTTAAATTTTTCTAGAAAAACAAATGCACATAAAAAATTCAGTAACAATTTCTTGCCAAATATTAAGGCAAATGCATAATTTCTTTTTTTTAATAAGAAAAAGTATTCATCAACAACAAAAGCACACACATGCACAAGCACTATAAATGTTGATAGCAGCTCCAACCAAACCCATGATTTCCACAAAGAAAACAAATTACTTACCTGAACACTTCGCTATATCTGTGCCTCCCAACGCCTTAGTTGTGCCAATACCAATGCTTTAACTCCATAAACACATCTACACTTAACTTTTAAACTTCACAAGCACATTATGCCTAAAAAAGGATAAAACAATCTATTAAACCTTAACCACCCAAACGTCCTAAATAGTGCTAAACAAAACATGTGTCACCTTTATATAAAATAACATGTGTCTATTTTCAACCCAACTTTTGTAACATTTTCCTTTAATCAAGGAAAAAGCATTTCCCCACAATAGCCACGCATGGCAAATCAAATTGAAATAATTTCTTCTTCCACAAATATGAAGGTAAATACCATTTTCACATGTTTAAATCTGATTTCAGGTTCCCCCCTTTTCTAATTTATTGCCCTATCTTTTCCCCACCAAAAAGTCACAGGCACTCCATGCGCCGATGTCACTGACTATACTGCTACCGACTGAAGATAATTATTTATTTTTCCCGAAAAAATCTGTTCCCTCTAGCATTAGTTCTTAAATAAATTCTTAACCAAAATGTCAAATGTTTAACAAATAGTTTTTGTTCTTTTCATTAAATAGGAACAAAAAATATACCCAAAAACTAATAAGGAAATGCAACTCTAGCATAAAATGGAAGTAATTTGGGCTTCTCATTAGGAAATTGTCATGACATTTCATAGTGTGCACAAAATTCTGTTGCAGTGGTTTTCCCCTATACAACTGATACTGGTAAAAAGGCAACGCTCCCAATAGAAAATAGACAAGTAATCCCCAATCCATGACCGATAAATCCCCAGGACAACACTGAAAATTTCCTCAAAAGAATCATCAAATTTTAAGGCGGACATAAACAGAAATACCATTGTTAAGCGATACTGTATGCAATAAAAACCAAGTATATATAACCACATGAGTGATATTTCCTGAAACATTATTTTTTCCTATGAACTAAATCAAATTAAATATTTTTATGGTTTAAAATATTAACTTTTTCAGTTTTATCAAGGACAACCCACCAATTGCAGCCAAAAATCACGAAAAACATTGCTGGAAACTGCAAGCAAAATCTCAACATGGAGGTTGCCATTTTTTTTCTTAGCTATATCCTGTACTGAACGGTACTATTTCTGGAAATCAGTTGCTAACAAAATATTGCCATTTTCTTGGTTATTTTTATGAAAGTAATATATTTTGTATTGAAAATGACTTGTATGGAGCCGAAGTGTGTCACAGATACACTATTACACCTATAGTATGCCGCATTAAATTTCATACAATAATGGAAGTATAAAAACCATTCACCACCATACATAATAAGATGTCACACCACAAAGATTTTTTTGCATGATGATAAAGTTTTTTAGGGGAAAAAAGATATATTATAGAATTATTAACCTCATAATTTTCCCCAAATCGACATTTTTCACATATCTTTCCCCTCCTTACCAGCACCCAGCATCTTCCCCTTTCCGTAAAAAAAAACCCCTGAATTGTAAAAGGAATAAATTTGTACTGTGCATCAAAACAAGTTTGTTGACATTGATTTCCCATGTGCGTAATTAGATCAAATGTGTATTAACTGTGAAGAAAGCAATGCATTCCTTGCATATATTTATAGCATATAGGGGTACATTTGTCGTAAAATCAGAATTATTTCCTTATAGAATGCCAATTTCCTGTGCCCACTTCATCTGCTCTTTGCACAACTGCATTGGCCGCCAAGGAACAAACAGTGTAAACAACAATTACATTTATTTCCATAAAGATTCAATTTAAAGTTCACTATTCAACATTTATTGTCTCAACTTGAACATCTCTTCTTAACAAAGATAATTTCAAGGAACAAACAGTGTAAAAAACAAGTACCATTATTGTCATAAAAATTCTAGTTAAAGACCAATATTCAACATTTATTGTCGCGACATCTCTTCCTAACAAAGATTATTTCAAACAACACGTACGTGTTCACTGCCAACTTTTTCAATTTCTGTTGGTCATGCGATCATACCTTTGAATACTTCTATAGTAATTCACTTCTAAATTTTTTTCATAACAATGTTAACAATCCATACCGAAATAGGTTTCTAATAGAAGGCCGAGTTGACCTGGTCCGAGTTAGTATAAGCCCAAGTTGACCCTTTGCGGCCAAAAAAAACACACAAAGGCCATGCCAGCAGCAATTTCTCTCCCTTTAAGAACCCCAAGTTAGCCTCCTGGCTTCGACGGAAAAGCTATAGCAAAAATTTCTTATTTGATTAGCAATTTAAGATAAAATTTTTTTAGGAAACTGCGCAATCTAAAATTTAATGTATACATTGTATTTCCTTTTGAAAGAGACCATTTATTGAAATTTGTCATAAAAGAAAGAAAATCACAGGGGAATAAACCTTGAATATTTACAATGACCATGTCAACATTTGGGCACCTTACCATGTCCGCCACACATGCCAGTACTTAGACTAGAGAAAATTACTAAATCGACAAAAAACCACCGTTTCAACAAAAATTAGGCCCGAGAGAAAGTGCTACCATGGATTTATATGAATTATGGTGGTTTCGTCAAACTACTGTTTCGGCGGACTTACATTATGAAGAGGTGCGAAAGAGGTTTCGTCAATCTTTTTTTAAAATTAAAGGCATAGTAGGCATGGTTCATGTATATAAAGTGGTTTTATCATCAATTTGTTTGTTGTAATCAAATTATGACACAAAATTTCATTAATGAATAGAATACATCGAAGAAGTATGTCTATTTATTATACCTATTTTGATAATGATTTGTTTGTTATTGGATTAATTCAATAAGTTTTGAGAAAAAAAAATATTAAAAAAAAAAAAAAATACATTAAAGCCTCATTTGACGCCTGGTTGATGTAATGACTACTTCCCAACTACTGAGATTATGCACCCACAATCCAATAACTTCAATGACAGGATTTATGAGGACAGTTTTTAAGTTTTATATTGAGTGATGATAAAGAATGAAAAAAGATTGTTGTTGTTTATTATGTAAAAAAACCATAGTAGATTCTCTTTAATGCTATGCCTGTATCAATTGTTTATATAGAGATGAATAAAGTATTTTAAATAATACGTACAAAATCATGACACAAATATTCTTAATTTGGGTTTTTAGAAAAAAATATTTTTACATTTATTTTTTGTATGCCTTGTTTTTGTGTATATATAATCAGATTATAAAATACATAATTAATTCTTTCTCTTCCAGGTTTTACTTTTCTGTGTATAAATTATAATGTTAATTTTATTCCCATTGATAACATTTGTCCTTCTGTTTAAGCTTTTACCATTTGTGGATACAGTTCAACATAGATTAAGAAAAATATTTTTTATGTTTTTACAGACTTCACTTTATCTATATTTGTGTAAATTTTAAATCATTTTTCTTTTTTCAGGCTTCACTTTTATACGTACATCACAACATGTATCTATTTTTATGTTGTTTTGTTTACTGAGATCTTTTGTGTTAAGTTAAGCTTTATATATGTAGAATATAACTACTATACTAAATAAAATAATAAATATAAGGTTTATATAATTTTTATAATTTCCAATATCTTGTCTTTAATACATGTCCTTGAAAATGCGTGCTTCTCTCCATTTTGTTAAGATGAATTGTCTTAATATTATTTGCATGTGTATGCTATGCCTCTTTATGTAATGTACATTTACATGCTATGGCTCATATTGGCATGTGTGTACATTAATTGAGTTCTGAAATATAAAATTACTAATTTAGTAATTAGTTCGCCGAACCGGTAGTTCGACGAAACAACTCTCGCTCATTTATTTTATATCGTCAATTAAAGTCCGTGGTGCTACGTAAGTTTAATGCACAAACTATTTACTACTTGAAATCACTTTATAAAAAATATACAACCTTCAGAGCAGGCAACACACAGATATATACAAACAATAACAAACCATCCATTTTTCCCCGCCAAAACGGCCAGCCAGCTTGTAAATTAGGTCACCTAGTCATTCTAAATCATAGCTAACACGAACTGCCAATTGAAAATCAAGCACATCATTAAATAAATACTTATCTACATTATAAATAAAGCATAAAAAATCAATACTTACAGTTTAACCTTGCTAGTACATTTAAATTATCGCTCTGAAATAAACCCTCTCTCTTCCTGAATGGCTGCCTGTTTGTTGATGTTTTTTCATTGGCTTACATTGTCACGTGATCAAATCAACAAAGGTGTGGACTAAGTTATTTCCATTGCAGTTCTGACTTTAATTGTTTTATCACAATTTAATCCCCGAAAAAAATATGTTGAAACAACTCCAGAATTACTACAAATATTAAAATTATCGAAAACATTAAATGTTATATAAATTGTAAATTAAGGTTTCACATTTCACCCCTAGATAAAACATAATGGACTCAACCCAAAACAAGCGTCTCTCTCTTTATTTAATGATGTATTTACATGACCATGATCAAACACATAAATCTAGACCAATTGTAAGACGGCCTTAGACGTAAACCTATTGTAAAAATAATACTATGACCACAGCAGATTTCGTACAGAAAACCTATACATTATTTTATGCATTGGGTATTAGACAGCCATATATTTACTATACTTGTAATGATGTGGTATTTGATATTGATTACACTTTCATGTAAAAAGAAATTCCTCGTAATTTGTTAAATTTCTGTGTAAACACATAGTTTCATACAGTGCAATTTCAGCAGATTTGCATTATGTAGAGCAATATCCTCTTTACACTGGTATCAATTATTCTCAATATATGATGAAAATGAATTGGACCTATACAGAGAACAGTCTCCAAGAAGCCAACACAATTTTGACTGCCAAATGTCGTTTCGTTTCTTTAATTTGGACTATGCTGTGGTTTATTTTGTCATGCGTGTTAGGGCAAAAAAGTTTATAAGTTTTGTTTTTGTTTCAATCTAGTTGAAATTATAATAGTTCAATTATTCGGCGCTAATATTAAATACTTAGTATCTAACATTAGTAATATATTTTGTTTATTTAATAACTTTTTATTTGGTTTAATAAAAATGATAAACATCTTTGTGTTATTTTGTCATTATGATTGTGTTTATTTAAATACTTCAAATAAGTAAAAATCCTTAAAAAGATAATCACCTAGAAGTGAGGACAATGTGTTCATTGTGTTGATACGCCATGTTACATTTGAATTCTACTGATACTAATTTGTTGTAGTTTGTACTTAAACAATGTATAACGTTTTTTCTTGATGTTTTTCAGTTGCATTTTAAAGTAATGATCTTAATTGCACTTTCTGTTATCTTTATATGATCATACGAGCGACATTTATGGTATTTGCATTTTCCTTAGCAAATGCGCATAAAATCATTTACAATTTAATTGAACTACATGAAAGAAACTGACATTGTAACATATTTGCCATATGACACAAGAACAAGTTTTTTCTCAGGAATGGCTCAACTTTCAACTTTCACCACGTTTGAGCTAAAATGAATATGTTTTTACATAATGCTTCTTTTATTGTCTAAGACATCAAGTTGTTTATCATCAATAATTCATATGTTACAAACGCACAGGCAAATAATAATTCCATTGCATAAAATTACTGTGAAGTTAAGCGAATAATGCAAGAATTATAATAAGACGGATTTTCATATATTTTTATTCATACATTTGATGAATGAAATGGCTTAAACTGGAAAGTAGATGGGATGCACAAGTTCATTGCACGAGCGTTATTTTTGTAGATAAAATTTTAGATCATTGCTTTTAAGGTGTAAACTGTATATACATGCACAAAATTGTAGTTAATTGTACAGAATAAAGTTTATCACAAGCAATTACTATACACTTTCTAAAACATGTAATATCAATCGAATAATCTTTATCATATAAATCAAATTATTAATTCAGTGGCATCGGAATTAGTTGCATCAGAGTTTATGTTTAGATAACGAAATTTCGCCAATATTTGGGGTATAATCAACATAACATGAAACTCTAGTTATATAAAAGTTATCGCCGTTAAAAGTATCCGGATTGCTCCCTCTAATGGAATAAAAAAAGAACACGTACATATTGACAGCTATTTGAGATATTAACATATCATAAAAGTGTGATACCAACGTAAATGACATTCATAAGAATAATGTTTCGGTCATTTTACGTATACATACATTAATATGTACTTCCTGTTCACGATATTTGCTACTTTGGTTTTCGTCACAAGTTTAATTCATATTAGTTTAGGTATTTGACATATTTTCGTTTAAATAATTGTTATTGTGTTTCTATACTAATGAATTGTCATGAAACCCGAACATGTGCTTAATATTATTACTGATGAATACTGACCAACTCGCATTTATGTCATTGCTACGAATAGAATGTTTGTTGTATGTTTCACTGTTAATATACAGTCCAACTTCGATTACTCGAATCGCTGGTGACTGAAAATTTACTTCGAATAATCGATGGGCTCGAATAATCGAAATCCGAAAATAGTGGTAGACGACAATTATTCAACTTTGGTCATTCGTCGGCGGCAATCATTAAATCAAATCAAGGTAACACCGCATAAAACAGGGCAATATACATCTATTTTCAAAATATATAAAAATCATCAATATGCGAGGAGAAAAAAAAACGAAAAAGATGCGCAAAAATACATTTTTAATAGGTTTATAAAAGACATAAATCCTGCATTTTATTCCACATTATGTCTACATGAAAAATTATCGTTGTCATCTTAAAAATTAACTGTAACAACATCGGAAACCCTGTGCAGGAATTTTAAAATCATAGATAAGATAGACATGTATTCTCAATTTAAATTATCGTGTACTAGGGAAACAATACACTGTTTTAAAATAGATTTTTTTTCAGTATTCATAATTATACAAATACCATGGTAAAGTTTGGGCCTGTTTATTTTTTATTTCTTTATTTAAATTGCTTACTTTCATTCTTTCATTACAATTATTGAAATGAATACTTTAATTAAATAATTAAAAGAGAAATATCTCGCATGCAAGTAATTTTTGGGAGTAAAAGAAAATTAAATAACAAAAAAAAAAAAATTAAAAAAGGTATTGTGTTTTCAAGTTCACTGAAACTAAATAACCTGTCATTTAGATTACACGTCTTTTTGCCCGGCACCCCGATGTTTGTTTTAACCCGGGGGCGCTTTCAAATCGCCTTTGACTGCCCTTTCAGAACCAAAATGTACTCTCAATAATGGTGATTTTGGTTTTCGTTTTTTTCTCTTCTTTTTTGATGAAGCACTATTATTTGCATCATAAGGCATTAGAATAAATGTTTACATTCGTTTTAATCCAAACATTCCAATCATATACCCAACGGAACCAAATTTTAATCCAGATTTATCGACTGCTAAAAAACCATGACCATACACTATACCACTAGCTAGGTGTAAGCGATCCGTAAGCCATGGCAGCGATCTTTTACAGCTAAAGAAAATCAGTTCAAATAATTATTTTAGACTAATTGAACGTTTCCTAAAACATTGTGAAAGTGTAATTTGTACGGATTATAAAGGGACTATAATCAAATAAAGGTACGAATTTTTTCGTCAAACATTGCTTAAATTGATTGAGAATGAGTATTAACAACTCGGATATTGCAATCTATTTCGGATGACCATCGACGAACAACGCGAAAGGCCTCCATTTGGGGTTCCAACTGTTTATTTAAAAGAGTATGATGTGTTTGGATGGCGCAAAACCTGGCAAACCATTACAATGGTTTAGAACCCATCTGAGATTTAACACTGAACTAATTAAAAAGTGGGTGGAACCATGTAATTATAAAGGATTGCAAAGGGTTCGGAGGTATGTGGCGGATCCCAACTTTGCAACCCTCAATGACAAAGTTAAAGTAATGGCCAGTGGGGTACACCTTAGGGGGGAAGGAAAATAAGTGTTTTGAGTACTTTCCCCACGCGCCTAGAACGGAGAACGCTACCGTGCGGATACGAATAAAAAACATTCCGTTGACGATAGAACGACGAAGAAGTAAATCAAACACAACTTGACGCTAAAAGGGATCGAAGGTCCCATATCCATGATTATCGTGAGAGACTAACCGGGTAAACGGGAATCTTACTATAACTGAAAACGGTGACAGGATTGTCACAGTATCTGCTCTATCCCTAAAAAGACCACCCCTCGCAAAATTCACTGCGATTTCGGTAAATACTCAGCGCACGTGATTCATGCACCGGTCAGTCTGGAGAGTCCCAGTAATTGAAAAAAGGCCGCGCAAAATGTAGCAAGTGTTTATTAGACGGGACATACATTCTCCAGCTGCCCAAATGACTGGGTGTGTTGTGTAGAACATGCAATCGACCCTGGACACAAAGCTTCGGATTTGTTCTTTATAATTAACGACATAGAATCAGAACCCACGACGCCGATTCTGAAACTGGTTCCGAACAATCCAGCGACTCCTACATGCATTCTCTGAAGTACATGTTAAAAAGCTTTACTTCCGTCGTTCAAAGCGGGGAAAAAGGCCCCAGACCGGGGAGGGGCAACAATAGCGAACATCTCCATTAGCATCATCGGGAATAGGTTCGTGGCTTCTATATTACAAGAAGTCTATGGGGGGAAAGTATACTTTCTCAATACTCACCCAAAAAAGGACAGAAACCTCAACTTTGTTAAAGAGCGCTCACCGCCAAACAACCGCCGCTGACGGTACAGGGAGAATGTAACGTTAAATCCACTAAGAAACATCACAGAAAAAAATGAAATTCTGTATCTTTTAATGTACTTGGAACATTGTTTGTTTTACAAACGTTGCCTATGTTTTTTGGACATGAAACAGAACAACGATTAATAACGGGGAACACATTTGAATTTTCATGTAATAAAAGAGATTAATTACCAAGAATTGTACATGTAATTATGGGCAAGTTGGGACGGCCTTCAAAATCATTATTTTTTCAAGTATTCTGCACATGAATGAAATGATAAATTTTGATTACATCATTTAAAATGATATATTAGTTTTATTTAAAAAATGGTATCATGTTATATTTACTGGTGCACAAGAAACAAATTGACATGGCCTTATAAAATTTGGTAAGCGTTGTTTTAAAATTTTGTAAATAACATATTTAAAAATATTAAACGCTTTACTATGTAAGAAAAATGTAGTACGCGCAAGAAATAAAGGGAAAACCCGAGAAATATTAAAAATTTAGTTTAGTTTAATTTTCATAGTAATTGCGACA